TGTGTGTGTGAGAGAGAGAGAGAGAGAGAGAGAGAGAGTGTGTGTGTGTGTGTGAGAGAGAGTGTGTGTGTGTGTGTGTGTGTGTGTGAGAGAGAGAGTGTGTGTGTGTGTGTGTGAGAGAGAGAGTGTGTGAGAGTGTGTGTGTGTGTGTGAGAGAGAGAGAGAGAGAGAGAGAGAGTGTGTGTGTGTGTGTGTGTGTGTGTGAGAGAGAGAGTGCGAGTGTGTGTGTGTGTGTGTGTGTGTACAGGTGTGTAATTCAGTGTGAGTGTAAGCTGTTAGTGTGTTCCTCAGTTGTGTGTGTTACACCAGGGGTCTGCAAGCTTGAAGCGGTGCTGGTGCTGATAGTTGTTCAGTGGTGGGTTCTGGTTGGGTCAGGTTGGTGTGTATGTGAAACACATTTATATCACATCATCTTACTGAAGACGGGCGCTGAACGCAAGCACATGCCGGTGTTCATACCTGGTTCAGGTTCTCGTAGAAAACTAAATGCTTTGAGTTCTTGTTGTGGATCGGTTCTGCCCGCACGTCTGCCTGAGCAGCGATACCGATATCAGTCCACAGAGGAAGTCAGTTAGGGATGCGCTTTAATCCGTCACGGTTAATTATCCGTAAAGGCTTCTGAACTGCGGGTTTCTGCACAGAACAGAACTGCTGCAGCTGAACAGTCATGCTGACCGTGCGCTGACACTAATAACCACACACACACTAGATCAACTACGACTGAGGCGGTTAACTAAGGCAAGCTCCTTAGTTCTCTTATTTTCACCTCGTCGGGTGACGAGGGACAGCAGGAACTGCAAACGGCTGAAGTCTGAGGAGGAGGAGGTACACAGAAGGAGACGGATTTACAAACCCACTTACAGTTACAAATAATGGCGCTGATCATGAGCTGAGTGTTGATCCGCCAGCCGTGATCAACCGAGTGATTTAAGACAGAGTTTCGCAGTGGATCAGCAGATGAATGGGCTGATTGAGGATGTGCTGTGTTCACCGTGTGTTCAGCACAAGTGTCCACTAACCCCACTGACCCTAACACTGCACACATCATCACCCAGCAGCTCTCCTCGACTGAGCTTACACTGACACTGCGGCTCATGACTGCGCTATTGCACTGCGGGTCACCGTGAGAATCCTGCTCTGCTCCGCTTATATAGGTCGGCTATAGTGAAGATCCGCGCATAGCGACTCTGAGCATTTACAATGACCCGACCCAAACTATAGAGTGAGCGTTACTGTGCTTCAGACACAGTAAATACATTAATATGCAGATGCAGCGGTGCTCCGTCATCTGTAGTGGCGCTCCTGCATTTAACAAATACTGTGGTTTAATGTATTCTTATTTATTTATTGACTGTTCTGTCCTTTATTTACAGTGTAAAATTATTTCTGTTTAAATGGCAAAATCATTCACTCATGTTAAGCACAGAGAGGGAAACGGTTAGTTTCTGTTAGTTTTCCATATGATGTTGTGCTGTATTAGTCACTGAGCAGCAGTAAACAGTCAAATATCAGGAGTGTTCATCTGGTTTTCTGCACTAGTGGGGTCTGAAATGAATGAATGCATAATAATGCTGATAACCGTGAACCTGAGATTAATTCTCAGACTATAATCAGACAACCAAAATCTAAAATCACTGCATCCCGACTCACAGAACAGTGCATGGGTCACCTCAGCCCCGGCGGCCCGCCATAACCACACCACCCAGTACTGGCTCACCACACACCGCTGAGGACCCCTGTGTTAAAATATGAGTGTAACCTCTGTGTGTGTGTGTGTGTGTGTGTGTGTGTGTGTGTGTGTGTGTGTGTGTGTGTGTGTGTGTGTACACAGAGGGAAGCGTTTTGTTGCGATGAAGGTGGTGAAGAGTGCGCAGCACTACACGGAGACGGCACTAGATGAAATTAAACTACTCCGATGTGTAAGTTACTACCACACGCACACACACACATCCACATCCAAAGCGACTTACAAATGAGGACAAGGAAGCAATTTACACAACTAAGAGCAACAATGAAGAAGTGCTGTAGGCGAGTTTCAGGTGTGTAAAGTGTAAGAAGGAAAGTGTTAGTCATTTTTTTTTTTTTTTGTACAGTTAGTGTGATATTCAGAGAGGCAATTGCAGATTAGGAAGGGAAGTGGAGACTAAATAGTTGAGTTTTTAGTGGTTTCTTGAAGACAGCGAGTGACTCTGCCGTTCTGATGCAGTTAGGGAGTTCATTCCACCAACTGGGCAGATTGAGCGTGAGCGTGAGCGAAAGTGATTTCTTCCCTCTTTGGGATGGAACCACGAGGCGACGTTCATTCACAGAACGCAAGTTTCTGGAGGCACATAGATCTGCAGAAGTGAGAGCAGATAAGAAGGAGCAAAGCCAGAAGTCACTTTGTAAGCAAACATCAGAGCTGTGAATTTGATGCGAGCAGCAACTGGCAGCCAGTGCAAACAGATGAGCAGCGGAGTGACATGTGCTCGTTTAGCTTCATTAAAGACCACTCGTGCTGCTGGGTTCTGGAGCAGCACGCACACACACAAACACACGCACACGCATAACTGATTATTGTTGTTATTGTGATCCTAAAACTAAGGTACATCTCAAACCGTGACTTCAGTGTACTGTAACACCTCAAAACACACCTGTACAGCCAAGCCTCGAATCATTCATACCCCTGCACTCTGACTACACACACACACACACCTGTCTGCACCTCTGACTACACACACACACACACCTGTCTGCACCTCTGACTACACACACACACACCTGTCTGCACCTCTGACTACACACACACACACACCTGTCTGCACCTCTGACTACACACACACACCTGTCTGCACCTCTGACTACACACACACACACACACACACCTGTCTGCACCTCTGACTACACACACACACCTGTCTGCACCTCTGACTACACACACACACACCTGTCTGCACCTCTGACTACACACACACACCTGTCTGCACCTCTGACTACACACACCTGTCCTCTGTCTGTCTGTCTGTCAGGTGCGTGAGACTGATCCTGAAGATCCTAATAAAGACATGGTGGTTCAACTCATAGACGACTTCAAGATCTCCGGGGTGAACGGGATACGTATCCTCACATCCTGTGTGTGTGTGTGTGTGTGTGTGTGTTTCTCCAGGTGTGTGTGTGTGTGTGTGTGTTTCTCCAGGTGTGTGTCTGTGTGTGTGTGTGTGTGCGTGTGTATGTGTGTGTTTGCTTAAAGACAGTTCATAAGCACACAGGTGTAGGCGGTGACACCTGCCGTGTCCTCGTTGAGCAGCGGTCCTGATCGTCTCCTGGAGGTGTGAGTGCGGCTGTGGCGTGTCCTGCGTGGGGTGTGTGTAGCGCAGGGTGGGTTTCCTTAACTCTGCTCGCAGACGTGTGTATGGTGTTTGAAGTTCTCGGTCATCATTTGCTGAAGTGGATCATCAAGTCTAATTATCAGGGCTTGCCGTTACCCTGCGTCAAGAGCATCATCAGACAGGTAAACACTCACACACACACACACACACACAGGCTGCGTCTGACTCCGCCCACTACTCGGCAGGTGCTGCATCTGGATGTAAGTGTGCTACTCTAGTAAAGTGTGCTCTATACAGTGTGGATGTGAGCAGTTTGCATGGAACTCAGACGTACTACATCCGCCATGTTGTCATGGTCATGTGACCTACCCGCTTCACTCCCATTCATGAATCCTCTGGCAGGGCATTATGGGATAGCGCAGTGTGTATGTGATGCGCACTTCAGAGTCTCCCTCCGGGAACGTCTCACACACTGATAATAATGCTGAATTCAGACACACTGCTCAGCTCACACACTGACTGTAGTGTACTATACAGTGAGGAAGTGTGCGGTTTCAGACGCAGCCATACTCTTCATCTGACCCTGACTCCAGATCGCTGATTGGCCGTTGTTGGTTTGAGTTCAGCCAATCATTAATGGCCTTGTTGATCAGTGATGGAGAGGCGTGTCCTGCGTCAGCTGTGTGTGTGTGTGTGTGTGTGTGTGGCTGGGCCGCTGTGTTTAACACACACTGCAGACTTCAGCTGGATGTCTGTGGTGTAATCAGCAGTGTGTGACTGTACGCTCGGCCTGTCATCTGTACTGACCCACTTTAAGCCGCGTCCCCCTCGGGCAGCGTCACACTCTGATTGTGAACAGGACAGATCTCACACACAGCGCTGCATGACGGCTGATCACCCAGACCCACACACACCTACACTGAGGGGGAACCCCGAACATGTCTGAGGAGGGGTATGAAGGAGTTGTTGAACCCGTGTGTTCTGCCTGGGTCAGCTCAGCGTGCCGCACAGAAACACCAGCAGCTGCTGTTCCCATCCCTGCTGCAGCGCCGGCGCCCCCTGCTGGAACAGCCCCGTCTGTCTGCGGTGGTAGCTCTGCAGTGTTCATGTGGTGAAACGTCACAAAGCTAATGTCACATGACTGTGTCTGAGCACTGCTGTGTGTGTGTGTGTGTGTGTGTGTGTGTGTGTTCCGCAGGTGCTGCAGGGCCTGGATTACCTGCACAGTAAGTGTAAGATCATCCACACAGACATCAAGCCGGAGAACATCCTGATGTGTGTGGACGACGCGTTCGTGCGGCGCATGGCGGTGGAGGCCACGGAGTGGCAGAAAGCAGGAGCGCCGCCGCCCTCAGGATCCGCAGGTACACCTGTCTGTCTGATTGTGCGCACATGATGAATCTCTCACACACCTGTCTCACTTTACCTGTGCTTGTTTACAGTCAGCACGGCTCCGCAACTCAAACAGGTGAGTGGAGGATATGAGGGAGACGAGGCTGTGCTCAACACGAGCTGTGCGTGACCAACTGGCAGTGTGTGTGTGTGTGTGTGAGTGTGTGTGTGTGTGTGTGAGTGTGTGTGTGAGTCTGACCTTTGGGATTGTCCCCGGTGCTGGACGAGGACACGGTGCGGCTGCGGTCGCTGTGTCTGTCGGGCCCCTGAGCCTGGTCCTGCAGAGTGTGTGTAGGGTCG